AATGGGGATCTGTTGTCTTCTTTTTAATTAAGCTGGATTTAAATGCAAGTGTTAAAAAGCAAAATATAAAAATAACAAGTTTTATGATATATTTTTATTATAAATTATAAATGAGGGTATACTTGAAATAAAATGTGTTATAACTCTCCCTTCTCCCCAAATAAGGAGTTGGTTTTTTTCTCTGCCAAATTAAAATTTCTACTATTTAAAACAAAAATTCATTTTAGTGCCCTAGAAACTTCCTATGCATTTAAAAGATTTTAATATATTATTTGTGGTACTGTGAATAAAATGAAACCGACCAAAGCATATTGTCCACAGTTCTAGCTTTTTATGATATTAATTGAAAATCTGACATCCTATAACTTATTTTTGATTAAGGAACTGGAAACTAGTTTAAAAGTATTTAATGATGCTTTTTTTTTCTCTCTTAAATATATTTTAATATAAGATTCAATCCAAATTTTTATCTGAAATACACAGTGAAATTTTTAGTGAAATTATGTCAAATCTGTGCATAATAAAAGCATTTGATATTTGGTTAGAATTAAGGATTGCAATACCGGTATTTTGAGCCTTTTATAATACCAGTATTCACAAGTTTAAATACTGTTTTTTTTTTTCGGTATTTACTAGAAATTTTTTAAATTGTCTCCACTATATTTTCAAGGGTCGCAAACATAGCAAAATAGTATGCGTTTTTGGTTTTATATCTTCCTAATAGCGAAATTAATTAGACTGTGAATACAGAGTATCATCGTACTGTCTAGAAAATGACACAATATGTGAATCATCCAAGGAAATGGTCCAAAACTGTCCTGTCCTATTATAGCTCAGAGTGATACTGCACACACGCAGGTTTCGTAGTCTGATATTCGTATCTGTGAAAACAAGGTTATAGTTGTGAAGAAAGTGCATAATATTTCGAAAAATTTCGATATTTTTTTTAATTGGTGAGTTTGTTATTCACATTTTATTTGCATATCATACTTTAGGGATTAAAATATTTTTCAGATTTATTATATACTCATTATTAATAAACAAACCCATAATAATGAATAACTTTAAAGAACATAAAAAATCTGTTGATAATACTTCAATTTGGTTTTGTTATTTATATGATGAAAAGAATATGGTGACACAATGTAAAAAATATTCAAGGGTTATTAAAGTGAATGGAGGAAGTGGACTCCATATACATTTAAAAATGAAACATGATACAAATTTGTTAAAGAGGAAAGAATCTAATTGCGATGAAGATAAAAATTTAAGTACAGTTTCTAAGCCCAAGCCATAAGATAATTTGGATGAAATTATAAGTGAAATGACAGCATTAGATGATTTCCCATTTCGAGTGTTTTGCACTTTTACTGAATTAAGAAAATCACTATCTGCCAGAAGTTTTAAAAATCTCCCAACATCGATTAACACTATTAGAAGAACTGTTATAAACTATAGTAATAGTGTTCGCAATTCTTTGAAACATGAGTTAATACAATTAAGGTGAAAAATTTAGTCTTACATTTGATGAATGGACAAGTGTAAGAAATAGATGCTATTTAAATATAAATATTCATTCAGAAAAAAAATTTTGGAATATAGGACTTGCACTTTCTTGGGAAGAAGGCCAGTGGAAAAATGTGTGGAAGTGCTTAAATCTAAATTAGGGAAAATGAATTATCCCTGAAAGAAGGTATTGTATTCATATCAACTGATGGAGCAACGGTTATAAAAAAGGTTAAAAAGTTGGTTGGTGCAAACCAATTGAATTCCTTGAGCATAGCAATTGTGCTATGCTCAAGGAACTCAAATAGGAGTAATAAATGTATTATACCAAAAAAAAAAAATAATAATAATAATAATAATAATAAAAATAAAGAACAGAAGAACCCAAATACTGTGGCTATAAAAACTTCTGATTTGGACTTTGAAGTGAGTGAGAGTGATACTGACAATGTAAATGTTGAAGAAGATATTGCTAATGAGGATGAAATATTAACTCATCAAAAATTGCTTCCTATAATTAATAAAGTTTCAAAAATTGTTAAGATATTTAAACGTTCCTCTACAAAAAATGCCTAATTACAAAAATATATACTAACTGAAAATAAAACATAGCATATGTTAATATTAGATTCTAAAACACGTTGGAATAGTTTACACATGATAGAATGATTTTCAAAACTAAAAAATCCAATCCAGAAAGCTATAATCGACTTAGGAATTCACTATTGGAAAAACTAATGCAAATTAGTTTTTCCAATAGTGAATTCGACTTCGTATCCAGAACTGAATCAGCTCTACTTACAATAAAACTGGCTGTGAAGGCATTCTGTTGGAGAGATTCTAATTTATTAACAGTTGGTGCAGCAATAAATTTTATGTTGCAGTCACTAAAAGAACAGCACACATCACTATCTGAAGAATCATATACAGTACAAAGTCGATTCGTCGAGACTTTGGTGGTTCCGGATTTGGGATTTTTCTGGATATTAGATAATCAATTTAAATCTGAGATGGCATGCAGAAATTATACAATTAAAACTATGAAATCGTTATTTATGAAATAAAGAATAATTATGTAATTTATTATTTGTAAATTATCAAAATTTACAAAAAAATTTAATATTTATTTCTTTACTTTATTAAACATTTCTTTCAACGTAAGTTGTTTAAGTTGCTTCCACAAAAAATTAAAAAGTTCCTTTTTCTTTGTACTTATGTCATATACAGTTGACTTTCCAGTGCTGTACTCCTCGCATAACTTTGAGACGATTGTAGATTGTAGATTTGGCAGCTCCAGGATTGGAAACTCTTTTCGACATAATCGAAAGTTCAAGCTTAGTTTTTATAAAATTGCCGTAATAATAACAGTCTGCAAAAAATAATAAGCTGGATCAAATTAGAAGATTAGGGAGAAGCGCAGTCTGTTACATTAACTGAAATGCCTTAGAATTAGTAAAGATAATTTTAGCCTAACTTTAGGGACTCCGTTATACATTATTGGCTGTGTATCGCAAGATTGGCAATGAAAGTTAAGTCGTTTCGCTAAATTTTGTCTTGCTCCTATTGCGTACTGAATTAAAGCAAAATTGTATTAGTTTAGTTAATTACTATACCTACGTTTATTTCTTGCACATGCTTAAAACTAATCTGAGTCCTGAATAAATAAACTCCCACATATACTTAAGGTTTTCGAAGAAAAAGGGCCAGTGCTAGATAACGCCTGGTGCAGTCTCTACTGTCCTAAATTCTGCTACAAAGCACCTTCCTAAGTTCTAAATTTTCACCATGCCTAAACTTTGGATCCCAGGTGCTTTCCCTAAATCATAAAAAACTTCTCATCCCTTAATTTTGCCACTCGGTGCTTCCCCCAAATTCCAAAAATTTCGTCTTCCCAAAATTCTGCCATCTGGCATATTTTGCCGCTGCTTCTGGGTTTATGGTTTTATTCTTAATTAAAATAGCACTAAATGTAATCTTTTAGCCTATGAATTTCATTAACAAAATCTATTTTTAGCATATGAAAAGAAATTTTTGTTAAACTTTTCCTCATCAACGTTTCTTAGAGCATTTAAAAATCTGTAATCATTGCCAAGCATGATGTTAGAATAAAAGGTTGCCATACTCTTGTTATTCAATTCCTAATATAAAAAAAAAGTTTAGACATTGCTGCACGAGTTATTACTGAAGCTGTCATGTATTAATAAACATGCGGTAATGAAAACAAAATATAATAAATAATGACTCGCCAGGTCTGTGTCAGGGATATAAAATAGGTGAATGTTTGGGTTGATGTGTTATGCCAAGCAGATACTCAGCTATGGAGCAAAATTATTAATCTCATAAATTTATGCTTATGTGATTGTTTTTCCATAACGAGGTATTTTATTTAGTGCGTAAGGGAAATTAAGAATCGGAATTTTTAAGTGAAAATCTCTACATGTTTTATTATGGAAGGAAAAAATCAAATGCGCATGTGTAAAGCATACCCCTCCCCCCAAAAAAAAGTTTGTGGCTTTGAGGTCCGAATTTTAGATCATTTCGGATAATGGACATCTGGATTTCGGGCTTTGTACTTGTATTACATTGAAAAATCGCACAGAAGAAATGCATGTTGAAATAGAAAATGTCTTACAATTATAATGATTTCGAAAATGAAAAAGAAGAAGAGAAACTAACCAAATCAAATTTGATCAAGTTTATCCTAAATTTTCTTAATTTTTTTACCCACAAACCTATTCTCATTCGGAAGAATTCGGTACAGTTATTGAAGATGATGATGACACTAATCTTGATATCAGTAGTGAAAAGGGATTGTCTCTTGAACAAAAATTAGAATTAGTGATAATTAAAGAAATTTCAACAAACCAAAATACAATACGTAAATCAGTTATATCCAAAACCATTTGACGATAAATCAATTTTATTTGAAGATGAAGGATTTAGAGGTAAATACTTGGAAAAAGTATATCGTGCATTGCTAACAGTACCACCAACTAGCGTAGATGCTTAAAGAGCGTTTTCAACAGCTGGTAATTTTTGTGCAAAATTATGTTCCAGGCTTAATGGCAGTACAATTGATGCATTATGTTTTTAAGATCACATTTAAAAAATTTGTAATAGTACCACAGACTGAATAGTTATATTTACACTTTTTTGTGATTCTTTATATACTGTTATAATTTATAAGTTACAAATGATTTTTTGTGATATTTACTCTCTCTAATAAAAGTGGCAAATAAAACAAAGAAACACCTGTATGTTCTTTCTTTTTCTAAATTTCCTACTACCAGTATTAAGATCTAAAAAATACCGGTATTGAACTGGTCCAAAATTGCAATCCCTAGTTAGAATAAGAATCTGAATGTTTAACTGTAGTGTATTTGATCCTGTATGATATTACATCTAAAATATGCATTAAAAATACTGTGCATTTTTCCGTTATACCATGTTTTGAAAAATTTGTCAAAATTGTTTTTTCTTTCTTATTTATATAGACTGACTTTCCAACTTTGCCTCATTTCACACAAAGAGCCCTCCAAAATTTCTGTTTGTCACCAAATAACAGGTATGGTTACTTATTTGATTCTGAAGTTAAGAGAAATGCAGTAACTTTTAAGTTTTCTATGTCCACGTAATTTTGTTTTATGTGTATGAAGTCAAGAGATGAGTTTGTAAAATTGAATTGGCAGAAAAGTTCTCCACGGATGTAAATAAAATATTTATCTAGTACCAATAAAATTCCAATATATATATATACCTTAGTAAAAAAATGGGATAATGTCGGAATTTTTTTAATTTGTGATTTTTGCATTATGGCATCAATGTCATTAATTTAACTATAAAGGCCCGTTTCCACTGCTGCGTATGCGTTTCTCCAATCAGCGAGCGAATTCACTTTGATTGACATCTGCAATCCAGTCGATGTGCGGTGAAGGATGACATACGGATGGAGTTCAACAATGTTCAACTTCTATCCATATGTCTGCGGATGCGTTGGGGTCATGTGGTAAAAAAGGAGCAATCAAGTGTAGTCACCAAAAAATTAATGGGGGCAGAAGTAGCGATGAATGCTCGCTTAGTTAAAGAATTGCTAAAAAATACTTATTTCTGAATTAACATTATAGCGAGAAATCTGCGTGCTGAAAAAGACAGCAATCAGCTGAATTTAGTTTAAAAAAAAGATAAGAAAAATAAGATAACTGCAACTACAGTACTTGTTTGCAGATAAAATCAGGTTTTCAAGAATTTCAGTTCAAGAAAATCAGCGGCAAAAATTTATAATTCCAAGTCCATGAAATAGCAAAATTTGTCCTGAAAATTATTTCCTAGTTCTGCATATTCATTTACATTCATGAAAATGGATGTCTGACTATATCAAACTGCTATAGCAAATTAGATATGATTAAAAGATTTGTTATTTTTTTCTTTTGAAACAAGTAAAAACTAAAAACGTTAATTATAAATTAAATTAGATAGCCTTTTAAATATTCCACTGCATTAAAGAGTATGTTAAATTTGTATTTCCTTTTTTAAATATATCTTTTTGGATAACATATATTTGTAAGCACATGAAATATATTTTTAACAGCCCGTTTAACTTCAATCGGAACGCCACTTTAAAAGATAATGTTTTTTGTAAAAAATGTACTAGAAGCTGAAGAACAAACTCTGGTGAATTTTTCAGACGATAGCACACTGAAATAGGACCAAAAAATTTAGTTTTAAAAATTGATTTACTTGATGATGTATATAAGCCAAAATATGCATGCTACTTCTACGTGATGCTAGCTTAGTGGTAAAGCTGACGGTAATAATGTTTACTTTTGGGGGGTCGTGAGTTCGAATCCCATACGCATTTTGCACCCTGTCTGCAACTTTCTCAGCTTTTTGTTCCAATTTGATCAATATTCGTGTTTTATAATTTATTTCTATTATTATATGTGTTAAATATACTGTTTTATTTATGGTCTTATTTATTTAAATTTCCCCCCCAGCAAAAAAGTTTGAAAATTATATAATACTAATTTAAAGCATACCCTGTACATATATAATTGAATTTAACAAACATTCTCTATTCGTAAAAAGCAAATTTAAAGTTAATTAAATATAGATGAAATAAATGATTAATTATTGCTGCGAACTAATCTACAATATCATTTAAATTCTGAGAGCATATGTAAATCAAGTGCAAGTATCAAAATCCATGAATAAATATATAATTCCAAAAATTTATTAATCCTAAAAATTTATAAAAATGCATAAGTGAATAATGGGATAGCTTATTAATCCTAAAATATATATAAAAATGCATAAATGAATAATAAGATAGATTTAATCCTAAAAAAATTATGAAAACGCATAAGTGAATAATAGGATAAATAAATTTTTGGAATTATATATTTATTCATGGATTTTGATACTTGCACTTGATTTACATATGCTCTCAGAATTTAAATGATATCGTATATTAGTTCGCAGCAATAATTAATCATTTATTTGTTTGCATTAAATTTCATTTAAATTTAATTAACTTTAAATTTGCTTTTTATTAATAGAAAATGTTTGTTAAATTCAAATTCCATTCCTTGCAGGAATGGCGCAAGAGAATTATTTAAATCTAATTTATTTTGAAACCCTGTAGATATATATATATATATTCGTTTCACTTTTATGTGAATGTATATACATGTGCTCAGGCTTTGGGATATTTACGACTCTAAACTTTCATTCCAATTAACATGAGACAGTATTAATGCCCTAAATATTTTTTAACAAAAAATTACTATAATAATTGCTTTTAACTTCAGTCCTCTCCAGCAAAAGCGCAGGAATTAATTAATTAAATATTTCCATTTTCTTTACCTAATGTGTGTATATATAAAGAGGAAAATCTTAGAGATATGAATTAAAAATGTTTAAATTAAAAATAATATTTTATGGATTATGCATAAAATATAACTGCCCATAGTGCATTTTAAAACAAATGAGATTTCTAATAAATTATCCAGCTATGACCCTGAAGTCAGCGGTATACAAGCATAGCAAATTTTGTGTAAACATTGTGAACCTTTCTTTACAGTTGCTCTGTATTTTTAAAGTACTAACTATCTTTTAATTCCTTTAACTTTTTTATTTTATATATTTATTTGCTTATTTTTTCACTAACAGTACATTTTAGTTTTAATAATATATATATTATTTCATTAATATTTAAGGCTTCTAGAAAGGCAAAAAAAAAAAATTAATTTACTTCAGCTTTTATGGAATGAGTGATGTTCATAATATGCTAAAAATTGCTAGCGTACTTTACTTTCGCAGTTCATAAGCAGAAATAAAAATTTCCAATAACATGGAATTTAGTAAACAGAACTTTTCTGCGTTTTACTTCAGGATCCATATCAAATCCAAAACAAACAATACTCGCTCAAGCGGGAAAAATTCAGATGTTCAACGTCGTAACTCGCGAACTGCTTGTTTGGCGCCAAAATATTACAGTGACACCTAGCGGCGGAAAATGAAAATATTCTACGCATACGCGGCAATGGAAACGCTTGTACGGATGCCGTAGGCGTGTCTTCAATTGACGCAACGGGTTCGTACGCAGTAGTGGAAACGAGGCTTAAGGGGGAACTAATGTCACTCCACTACTGTACTCAAATTTGGATTTATGAAATGACTAATATTGTGTGTGCATTAAAATAAGGCAATCATGTGCCTTTTTATGCATAAGAAAATGCTTAACCATTGCAGAAATATTTCTTTGAATCATTCATCAGAAACTTTCAAAGCTGAAGTATTTACTTAAAGCTTGCGAATTGGCATTAACTCTTTTGTTCCCAAATGTACATATGTATACTGCAGCAACCATTGTAAACATGTAGGATATAGAAAGCTGATAAAAATTAAAAACAAACTTTATTTAAAAAATGCTGTTAAACTGGAGGGACTTGGCATTGCAAAGACTGTTGAAATGTGGATGGTTTCTTATTAGATGAATGCAAATGACCTGTGGGCTCAGATCTAACAATGTTGGTGATTTAAGTTTTCTACTCTGTGAACCCGTTGAAAATACAATATGAAAGACAACTCACTGAGCCAGTTTGCACAACAATAGAGTAGAATAATCATATCCTTGAAATCAAATCAGTAATTTTATATGTGTAAAGTTAATTTTAGACTTTATGGTATGTGTGTATGTGTATATTAGGATAATCATTGACTTGTTATTCTGCAACTCTGTTATATCCAGCCCTAGGAAGTATGAAGACTTCTCTGATTTGCCTTACAAATATTAACTGAAAACTAAAGAGCCATGACTTATTCAGTCTGCAAAATGTATGACAAAATGTTCATAAACTCTCAACTATAGATAAATTCTAAAAACTTGCAGCTGGCAAGAAGTGCTGTTTCATATTTATTCTTTAACTTAGCTTGAAATTCCATATACTAAATGCATAATTGTTTTGGATGCAAATAAATGGTGTTTGCTAATTTTTGTTATTGATACCTTTCTAAGTGTTTCCAACACTCCAATGAGAGTATGTTTTAGAAAGCATATGGCACAGTTCCCAACTTTTCTGGTTTTTCATCACATGTCCTAGGTTCCTGGTATATCAGCAGAATTTCTCAGTTCTTGATTTTTAGTATTTTTTAAGAAAAGGTTTCAGCAACAAATTAAATTTATTCAAGTAATGAAACTTTAATTACATAAATTTCATTCTCGTACCCTTTATGCTTTTCAGCATAATTTTTCCTATTCAATTTTATTTGATCTGAATTGCCTTAATCTAATATAGGCATTTGTATAACTTTTTATGAAGATTCATTTAATTCGGTTTTATATCACTCTATGGCATATTACTAAGTTTATCCACATGATAGTATTTACATTATTTATTTTGTTTTCCTCATGTTTGAAAAAAATATCATAAACTAAAGCTTTTCTTCACTATTTTGGATATTCTGAGTGTAAAAGTGTAAGAATATTAAAAATTGAACTAAATGTTAATATATTTTATGGCAGAGTCATGTAAATAGTTGAATAACTTGATTCATGAGTTATAAAACAAATTCAAGTCAATTTGAAATGGTACCACTACACGCTACAAAAATTCTTGGTTTTTCATATTTCAAGATCTATGTTATCTATGTTCCTATTCCCATGCATTTTTCAAATCATATAATAAAAAGAATTTGAGATTGCAATATTTTATTAAAAATTAATCAGTATATTTAATGATTTCTGAGTATTGTCTTTTGTTATGGTATACTTGAAACTAAACTCCTTGGTGAAGGGATTGCATATAAAATTTCTAGATGTTGCTGTTTGTATCATTGTCTTTTTTTGCAGTGCATACATGGCTCCTTACGTCTGTTTGTTCTCCACTGCCACTAGTAATTTTCTGCAAAATACAGTGTCATATATTAGCAGATTTTTATCCACCTTGGTCACCATTAGGAACACATCAAGCAAAAGTGGAGAAAATGTATAATATAAATATTGTTATTTTATTACAGGGTAAAAGCTTTTTGGGGAGAGGCAAATTACTGCATGAATTATTGTTTCCCTTCACAAGCAGTAAATAACTGAAGATGCCAACTTGTGTCTTCCATCTCAAATAGTCATATGATGAAAGATATCAGCTCACATCTCCCATTACAGATAGTAGAGTAACAAAAGATGCTAACTTGCTTCTCTTGTCACAAGTAGTTAAATAGGGAAAGACTTAAGGTCCCATTTTATATCAGTAACGTGGTAAATGTTTACAGAGTTTTCTTGGGCTATTATAAAATATTTTAAGAGTTTAATATTGCAGTTGTTCATGATCTTGAATAAGTTACATGCAACCTCACATTAATTTTCTTGGACACTCATCACATTAATTTTCTTGGACTGCCAGCTGCAGCTTAAGAGCTTTCAACTTACTTGCAAATGAAGAATTTCATTCCACAGAACTTCAGCTTAACTGCTGATCTTTCTGCAACTCAATAGGTTATAATGAAGCTCTTTATATGGATTTCATTTTGATGAAAACTGGTTGTATGCAATAGCAGTATGTGTTGCATGCTTGTGCATCAAATCCTGAATCAGAAATTAGAGCAACTTTCACTATAAAACTGCAGCTTAACTCCATCTTTACCTTCTAATCTCAGTGATTACCCTAGCTGCATGCTACATCCACACAACGTCAAACTTCATTCTTTCCTGAGTAAATAATATTGGATACCTGTATTTATCTTGATTACACATATCTTGTTCACCTTGTCGGTGCTTAAGCAATGAATATGCGTTTAGCATAATTGTTCAAAATTTCATGTCATGACCACAGTGGACACAAGAATGGGTCTGGTTCACATTCTAGTAGAGCAATAGTGAATATCAGTATTCATTTACAGCACTATCACCAAAATATCAACATCTTCAGGTTGACTTTCTAAAACCATGTATATAGTAAAATAGCAGATGTCCAGATTTTCTCAGATGTGTGCTTTGTCAGTTGGATTGGGTGGCTTGATCAGGTTCTTCCTTTTTATTGCTTTCTGCAGGGTTGTTTTCCAAATTGACATCTAAATGTGAGGTAGGTTGAAAAGAAGATATTTGTTGCAACACAGTCTAGTGGTTTGTCAATGATTTAGGACTTTCACATTCAGTTATTTAGATGTTCCACAGACTATTGAACCAAATATATGCTGGTTTCGTTTAGATATTAACAGCAAACAGCTTTTAAGTATCTTTTTTTTTTTTTTTTTTTTTCTTGACAATTCTTAGTGATAATAATTAGATATTGAACCAATGTATTGAGTTTCTGTGTGTGCATCTTCATTGCAAATTGGAATAGTATACACACCTTAAGTATCTGTTGTGATGCCATCTGATTTGTCTGTTCTGAACAATCTCCAGATGGATGGGGCTGATCATCTGCACAGTAAAGCCATAAATTCTGTCAGCAAAATCTAAATGTGCTCTAGTGTGGTAATTGTGAATGAAGAAGTGCAGCAATGTTGTATGTCGCTGTCTTTTGCGATTCCGGCTTGCAAGTGTAGCCAGCAGTAAAAGTGGGTAGGGTGTGTGTCAGAGTTGTATTGGTGTTATTTTGTTGCAGAAAGTGAGCTAAAGAAATTGTTTCTTTTCTGAAACCTGTCGGTATAAATGAACAATTTGTATTTCTGATAGTAGCACAGTTTAAACAAATGCGTGCAACTGTTGATTACATCATATCAGGCTGCCCTAGGTGTTATGCAGTAAAGAAGCAATCCTTTGTGCAAACAAACAATTCTGTCTCATGAAATGAACATATCTCCACAAACTATGTCATGCATTTTGAAGAACAGATTTATATTTTGGTGCATATAAAAGGTACACATGGCATTTGCTTACTGAAAAATTAAAGGAGATATGTTAGATTCAATCCCAGGCTTTCTTAATGATGTATGGGAATAGCTAGTATCGCAGCATCCTATTCACAGATCAAAATAGTGTAGAAAAGTCTTTTAACAAGCAAACCGATCGTGTGTACACACGGTTCTCCCGGAAAGCAAGAGAGGAAGGTCCATGTGTGCAGCGCAGACATCACTCTGCTTACATCATGGTATGGTAGGCAGTTGCCTAGCAAAGAGCATTGTAGGTCATTTTTTGTTAAAGGGGAGTAAAGACTTCTGCAGTCGTGTCCCCCCCCCAGAATATATGTCTATTAATGGGTTTGCATAGTTTTATTCAGTAGTTATATGTATTGAAAGTACTGATAGAACTTATGGCATATATGTATATATATGTAACGAAGAATGGCTGTTTATTTGTGTATGTGTAATTCATACAGATATACAGTTTTTTGATCTTGATCAAGTTTTGTACACTTGACATTCAAAACTAGAAGAATATCACCATCTACATAAAATAATAATAATAATAATAAACCAGGATATTAGAATGTTATGCTTATGTCATCTATTTTAGCTTGATATCATCATTTTTACATTCCCATTATCAGTAGAAGTCATACATACTAGACAGAGAATTTATAATTTTTTTAAAAAAATACATATTAATATTTTTACAATTTAAGTTTTTAAATCTGTCACTCATCTTAGGCCCATATCACCTTTGCTATGTTCCTGCTCTTAGTTCTTACTAAAATCATTAAATGAGGCCTTGTTCATTTACTCATTAGAACAGTGTAGAAATTTTAAAGTAGAATTTAGGTGTGCTAGTTTTTCACGGATATTTCAAAAATGGTGAAAAAATCAAGCAAAGTTGATGATGATTTTTCAAAAGCTCATTTTTGAAAAAGACATAACCAATAAGAAAAATGCCAGCTCTTAATAACACTCTTCCATGGCACTGTGTTAGTTCTAAGAGAAAAATCACTGTCCACCTGAGATTTTGAAAAAACTACTCCCATCCTCCTAAATGAAGCCTCTTTACAACTAGTATGTATACATAAAAGATTTATGCATTTTTAATGTAAAAGATTTTCTAATCTCATAATAATTTAAAATTAAATGCAATTCTATCACTCTCAAATAAAATAAATGTTTCAGTTATGCATACAGTAAGGCCTTTTAATGCATCAGCTCTGTTAATTAAAACTGCAACAGCTCTGTTCAGAGAATGGAATTTAAAACTAGCAAAAAATTACATCTGAATGTTTGAAAAATATGGTTGAATTTGTATTCCATAACTTTTTTAAATATTATTTTTGATCATACATTAATAATAATAATAACAATGTTTTAGGATTTTTCACTTTTCAGTATGCATAACTTTTGGAAATTTTATTTTCATGTATGTTTAACAAACATTTTCAAATTTCTTTTGACTTTATATGAATCATTAGTGCAAAGGGGCTTTTTTTCCTCTGAAGAACTGTTGTTTTAGTTTTGCAATTTTGTGTTGAATCACTATAAATGTCCGTTTCACTTTTCAAACTGTTGCCACTAAATGTTAGAGTCCTGCATTATATTTGAAGAAATTAAATGTTGAAAAATCTGCATAAATGTATGTATATTTCTCACATAGTGATGAAACTACGGTACATAGAGCCATCAAATTTTGAATGATATAATTCAAATATGGCCATGTGAAAGACCAAATTTGGAATTTGTTTTATTTATTGATTTCATATTTTGTAAAACTTTAACAAATTTTTGATTAACGAACTCCATGATTTCAAAGCACGCAATGGCAGCACTATATGGGGAGGAAAGCCTTTTTATCTGTAGTGTGCGGAACTGTGTATTGGGAATGCTAAAGGTATGCTCATTTGAAAATTATTTTGCGACATTGCTATTGAACTGAATTTTCTGGTTTAAGTGCAAAGAACATGATATTTAATAAATAAAGGTAACACAAAAAAACGTTTAAAAAAACGCCCCTTTGAACGGTATTTAAAATATGAAAACTTTTTTTTTTTTTTTCAAAAATTTTCCTAACCATTATATAATTCTGAGGTTTGTTGTTTAAATATAAAGTATTTGTGAATGACACTTGGTTTGATATTGATGTTTAAAATATTCATTTTACTTTGTGTTGTTTTAATTTTACTTGTCAAAATGTCAGTGTTAGCTGACACTGTTATACAATAAAATATGTATCTGAATGTGCAACTGAATTTAATTCCTTATATTTTTTAAATTTAGGCAGTTGATTGAGAATGGTTACAAGCAATTGGAAATTTTTAATACAAAACTACATGAAGCATTAGGTGTCATGATGGCTTTAAAACAGAACAGAGCACCTGGATTAATGCAACTCGAATAGCAAATCATTCTGTAAATCATATATGTATATGGAGCATTTTTATATGTTATTTCATGTTAATCGCTTTATTAAATGTAAATGTTTTTGTACATTTGTTTATTATTTGTCTTTCATTTGGACCGTTAGAATTTTTTCAAATTCGACATTTTATGTTTGTTGATTGTTTGGCATCATGGATTGTGAAATCATAAGCATTTTGACTAACTGCATATTGCATTTATTCACAGTTCCTTGAAAAACAGCACTTCTTCTGAAGATCCGAAAAATGTTTCGAATTTTTTAGCACAGTTAGAAAATGAAAGTAACCATTGGGCATATTTTCATTATTTTGGCATCCCATTCTGCTTGCATGGTGGAATGTAGAAAGGAAAATATTGGTATCAAGGATAAGAATTTTGAAAACAAGTTATTTCCATTCAATTATCTTATACATTAATATTAAATAATGCACATAGCTTATATTTTTCATCCCTACTATGCAGAATTAAATAAGATTTGTTTTCTCTCTGGCAAAATAGCTTTATAACAATAGTTTTGTGTTGATCTTTCTGTACAGTTTTATCCGTTGTCTAATTGACATAAAATTTCTATTTATGATTGAACTGAAGTGTCTTTAGAGGTTTGCTTTTTTTTTATTTTCTTCAGTTATGCTTCAAGGACAGAGTGTAATTCAGAGAAAAGAATTCATCTGAGTACGTACATTTTAAAAATATTTCAGATTATGTAGGAAGAATAAGAAAAGTGCCAAGAATCTAGAAGTATGTTTCATAATTTAATCCTTGTTGTAGCAATCCTGCTTTACATTTCCCAGCTCCATTTTGTTATTTGTGTGAGAGAAATGTCCAGTATGAAGATGCTTTTACAGATATAATCCTTTTATAAAAGACTTATCTTAGAACCTGTTTTTACTAACTTTAAAAAGAAACCCCCTTTTTTTAATTGATAGAAAAGTATAAATTTCTTTTTGAGAGGTTACTAAAGTTTAGAGGAGGTTTGCAAAATATTTTTTGAGTGCTAACAAAGAACTGTATTTTTGAAAAAAGTGCAATTCTAAGCAATTTGAAGACTTATATGTCAACTGCAGATGACAATCCTGGTTTGGACCGACAAAAAATCATTAGTGAGTCGCCTATATGGACAATGATAAGGTGCTAAAAGATTGTCCTCTTCCTTCTCCGTACTACTGTCTAGTTTCCTAAGCCTCCTCCATCCTAACATTTGGCAATGCAGTTTATTACATCAGTATTACTGCAACCACTCTCACCACCTCAGTGTCTTGGTATGTGAAACCTCAAGATTGTGATGTCATATTCTTGTTTTTGGTGTATTATGAAGTCTCAGTGAGTTTCTCGGAGTAGAGCTTTGCAAAAAGGTTTTAAAATGCTTATACAAAGTAAGTACTAGTAAGTACAAAGTATACTTTTTGCATGTTGTCATATTTTCAACGTATAATAATTCCATGGTCTGCTGGCTGTAATTTAGTTTTTGAATTAGCAAGGGGGGGAGAATCTAAAAAATTTTATATATAGCATGGTTCTAATATAGGTATTTTGACACAAAATCAAACTTTTTCTAAAATGATATGCCAAGTTTTTTCCATATTTCTATTCTACTACTCGAATTATGTCTAAATATTGAATTTTGTAAAATTTGGTGTAAAATTTACCAAATTAAATTTGCCAAAATTAAAAAATTTAGCTTGGCACTTTTTTATGTTCATTTTGCTCCAAAAACTCTTCACTTGACGAACTTCTTAACTTATAGCATCCACTTTTCCTTGTACACGAGCGGAAAAAATCACGTTTGCTACTTTCAAATAATTTTAACAAAGCATGTAAACCACATTTGGCATTATTATTTCTTACAACATATATGCTAATTCATGTACATCTTAGAAGATTTTGAATAAAAAACTCTTAATTTTTTGGAGGTGTGCCTAGAAATACATCTACTTTAAGATGATTTTAAAAATTTTACAGGTTAAAATAATACAAAAAGTTTTTCAAAAAATGTATAAAAATATTTTTAAATAAATCATAAAAGATGTGTGAATTATATTTGGATTAAGTCTAAATTTCAAATTCTGGAAGAAGAAATCAAGTAAGTTTAAGAAAAAAAGAGGTATTGGTAAATATAAATCAAATTCAATTAACATTGAGGAGCTAAATTTTTTAAAGCTGATTTTTTAAAAACTACTCGTGTGATTTTTACAAAACGTGGCAGTTTGACATAATTTAAGTCGTAAATGGAAATCGTTATATGGAAAAGGAAATGGCATGTCATTTCAAAGAAAATCCAATTTTGTGTCAAAATACTTGTATTAGAGCAATGCTATATATAAATGTAATACATATCCATAAATCGCACTTTTGAGACATGAAAAACGCTAGTTGAGTTTCGTCAATCGGCTCAGTAGAACGGGAGATATAGAACTGTCTTCTTCTTCTCCCCCCAAGGTACATAGGTTGAGATTCCTTACCATTAGTAAAGCTGATATACTTTAGATATCATCAGGCAGATTTTTCAAAAATTAGTTCTTTATTCTTTATTGGGCATGAATTTGTTATATAAATTTTCTGCTAGAGTAAGTGATTAAAGCAAAATACATGATGATATCAACTTTAGGAATGATGTCTTCAAGGTAAGGCATGAAAGCATACAGGCAGCTCACCCATTCTGAAGGGAATCAAATCATGAGAGAAAATATCAATATTTTTAATAGCTTAGTTACTAGTCGACTTAATAGTACTAAGAATTAAATCCATGCATGATTATGCATCTGTCCTAAAATAATTCATTCTTTTCAAGCATGTGCTTGGGCAGGTGTTCAGTTTGTCTTTAAAGTACTTTGTTTAATACTTTTTTAATTAAATGTTTAACTGTATTAACCAAGGTTCAAGCTATATGTTGTTGTGCCAATATCAAAAAGTTTAAAAATATTCAATGTTTTAAAAAATCATAAATGGTCTGTTAAGAAAAATTGGAGGGGAAGAAATGAGAATTGTAAATACTCTTCATTATTGAGGCTCAGAAGTTTACTTAAATGTGAAAGATTTCATGTGAAATCTTATTCAACTTTATTTATCTACTAGCTGTGTAATGTAGAAAAAGTCTTATTAACTAAATGTTTATTTAATGGCTTTGAAGCAATTCCTGAATTAGAAATTTAGGACTCAATTTCATTCATAGGATGAATTTTCATTTTATCTATAATAGAACTGCTGGAGTACTGTTTTTGGTACATTTTTCATTGAAAATATCTCGTGAACTATGATACCTATTAAAAAACGAGAGTAGCCAAAAGTGTGCATTTGCATATAAAATTTCCATTGTACCTATAATAGAATGCAAACTAATGTTGGGTTTACTACTTACATTGTACCAATGACAGAAACCGAAACTAGTGATCTCATAAAGTTAGAGTAATAAAATGCTCACCAATGTCCGTTCTTAAACAGAAGCGTGGTTGACTGCAACCATTCCATTCTATCTTCAATAGAATCGGAATCTAAGATAGTTACAAAGGAATGAGAATTTTCTCTGGCTGAACGAGCACAGTCAAACTATTGTAGGTATATATTCTGCTATCTTTAACTGAAAACACAAGCAATGATAAAATTGAATAAATATCTAAAACACATTGATAAATTTTAAAACAAATATTTTATTTCACTTTAAATAAAGTGATAGACACAAGAGGCATTTGGCTGTGTGTAGCTATAAAATGCTTAAAACAGTGATATAAACACATTCTTATGAAGTTTAAATAGACAAATATATAAACACTCGCACAAACATGTATATCAGCATCATAATGAAGAAAAACATTTTTCTCTTGTTTTTCACATTGAAATTTTAACGTTTCTAAAACACCAGTTTCCTCTTGTATTACTTTAACTTTTTACATAATATAGCAGCGTCGGATTGTTTTTATTGAACAGTGTTGCTTTCAGAATATTAAAACAGCTTATTAATATTTGTTGAGATAATTACTTAAGTGAACCAATATCGAAATGGAAATTATTGTTATGTGTTTTAAACTTTTAAGGTTTACTTGTTAAAACTGATAAAGTCCATTTATGGAAACACTGCAGAAGCAGAATACTATCTGGAACCTTTTTGAGGGGGCAACCAATTCATATGGATTTCTATTTTATATTGATCATTGGTTTTCATCTTTGTATGTATATAATCAAAATGTGAAACACTTCAAGGTCTGATTTCCCCCCCCCCTATCTAAATCACTGAAGTTGTCATCCATATGTGGTGCCTGACACATCCTTGGTACAGTTTAGCAATTCATTGATATTGACTTGAGCCAGAAATACATTATTTAGTAGCCTCCATTGTTTTTAAGAGTGTTCTCTGGAAAATGAATGCCAGCATCAAATGTAATTGTTTATTTATGGAACTAAGAAATGCAATTTTTAAAGAATTTGCACTAAATGGGGAGGGGCAAATTTTTTATTTTAAATGTGTTTATCTAATGCCAATAGCTTTATGATAATTTAACCATTTTAATGAATCCTGATTCGTCATTCAGTGTCCACATTTCTACGGAATTAAAAATGTAAGGTCAAACTTTTCTGCTCCAAAATGCATTATATACGATGGTAAAATCATCTTCAAAATTATTAGCTGGATATATTATAAGTTAGATTATAAAAAAATACTAAATGAAGGATTAAGTTATGAAAGAAATGTATTTACTGCTTTCAGTTTGCTTAATTTATTAAGCAGTCATAAAATGAAAAATCAGATATGTTGAATGGCAGAATTATAGAAACTTGCTCTTTGAGAGGCCGCATGGAAGATCTTGTATTTCATGTAATGGCAGTATTTGCTGAGTTGCTTGCAAGCTTATCATAACTTAAGAGACCCAGGAAATTTTTTAAAGAATTTGCTAAATGTGTTTCTAACTGCAAAAATGCATTATGTATATAAATAAAAGATGATTAAATTAGCAGCTTAAATTAATTTTCCTTTTCTATTCTAAAAAGAGTAATCTCTCTGCACTGCTTCATTTCGAAATTAATTCATGTCATATGACTCTTACATAATTCTGATGATGTAAATGAACCTAAATCAA